GAGAGAGAAAATAGGTTTTGTGTAAAGTTTGAAAAGTTATTTTTCCTGATGTCCCATTGGCATTACCGGGCCTAGGGTTCCCGGGATCCCTTGAGCTTTCAACCCATTTCCTCTACAAAAAGATCCAAACAAACTTTGCACTCTGTCTCTTCTTCCACCTGTCCAGAATGTGGAAAAATTAAACTTTTCGACTGTGGCTTGAGTGATTCTAGATTTGCAGTCCAAACCTTTTTGGAGCTGTCCTCTTGCTGTACTCAGAACAGAAAAAGCATTGCAGCCATTCCTGAATAGCTTCCACCTCTGCCCATTTGCCTCTCCAACTTGCATCACTTGTTTTTCTTAGGTACTTAACAAGCAGTTCATATTGTGCCCCATGGGAATGTTGTATGCCTTTGGCAAATGCCCAGATCTGATGGTGACACAAGCCTGCATTGTTGTGCGTCTTGGGATCCGGAAGAGATTAGAAATGAAAACGGCAGCTCAATTCTTTTCATTTTCCTCTTGAAATAGTTCTCTAGGTATTGCCTCCTTCATTGCTGTCGGGGTCAAAGGTATAATGCAGCCCAATTTCCTGCTGGGTAGGAAGTACCAGCATCCTGACTTTATGACTGCCCGTGTTAATCAAGTTCAGTGCTGGCAATTTTACTTTGCATTCAGCCAGTCTGTGTGATTATAGACATTGGGGCAGCTTCTATATGGTGTGTATCTGCATTGCAGCTTCCTTGATTTCACCAACCAGTTTCCCTATTTTCCCCCTTCCTAACGATCCTATCTTGTACTTGGACCAAGATTTTAAAAAAATATGTGAAAAGAGATTGGAAAATACATAACCCAAGTGCACGACACTTTATATCAAAAGCTCTTTCGTTTCCAACAAGAAAACCCAAAAATGACATTACATTAAAATTTTAAGGTGCTATTTTAAATAAAAAAACCCAACAGCTACTTTTGATGAAATGTATTCCTTGATGAACCTGTGATTCCCCACCTGCCCTGACTTGGTTTGCAAGACATCCCTCTTTCCAGCCTTGAACCCTTCAGTCCAATGGGTTGAAACAAAACAGGGCCTTTTGAAGTTGCCCCATCACTGCTCTAGGGCATCTCCCCATTCATTCATCTTACTCAGGGTCCTTCTCCTCCCACTCCTCCATGGGCTCCTGGCTCTGCAACTCCCACTTCCTAGAGCCACTTTGTCCTTCTTCCCTGGGACCTGCCTCTGTGTCTTTCCCAGTAGGTTTTGGGGGGTTCCTCCTCCTCCTCCTCAGGTCTCCCTCCTTTCCCCTGGGTCAGCCTGATCCCCTCTTCCTTTTTCTTAGGTAAAGATTCCCCTTGACATTTAGGCTTCCTTTTTCTTAGGTAAAGAATCCCCTTGACATTTAGTCCAATCATGTCCGACTCTAGGGCGTGGTGCTCATCCCTGTCTCCAAGCCGTAGAGCCAGCGTTTGTCCGAAGACAGTTTCCGTGGTCACGTGGCCAGCGCGACTAGATACCATTACCTTCCCAACATGGTGGTACCCATTTATCTACTTGCATTACATGCTTTCGAACGGCTAGGTTGGCAGGAGCTGGGATAAGCGATGGGAGCTCACTCTGTCGCGTGGATTCGATCTTACGACTGCTGGTCTTCTGACCTTGCAGCATAGAGGCTTCTGTGGTTTAACTTGCAGCGCCACCACATACCACATCCTTTTTCTTAGGTGCCTCTTTTTTCTCCCCACTCCCTAGCTAGCGGCAGGGCAGCTTTTATATCTGTTGTGCCCCAGGGGCAAAACCACCCTACAATCCCCAGGGCTGACATGACCATACGGAACACAGGGTGGTGTGTCCTTCCTCTGCTGTTTGTGTGAAAGACCCTGTGGTGGTGGTGGTTTGTTGTGCCGATCCTGCATTGGAACTCATGTCCTTCTCCTCCTGAGAAGACCAAAAAATCATTTCATGTAAATTCCTACTGTAAATTCACATTTCATGTGAATGCCTGCTTTTTAAAAAAAAGAATATGCCAATAATAGGTAATTTGTGTACTAAAAAGGGATTGTAATTAAAAAGGCCCTTGATAGTTAATGAAAAATGGAGAGTGGTTTTCCATAATAGAAGTGGAACTCTAACTTAATTAACGGGAGCTTTACAGTTTAAAAAGTGCTCGTTTAAGTCATTCAACAAAATCTGGGTTGGATTTTTGGGTTGGTTGGTGGTCAACGGAGCGGATCGCTCCGTTGACAGAACAAACAAACCTTTCTCTGAAAAATTAGAACCTATGACTAGAGAAAATCAAGTGAGTCCACATGGGCTAAAGAATCATTTCTTTCTCTATAAATGCTGGATATTACATTAAAAACATCTCACCTTCAGTTATTTGTTGCCAAAGCTCAGGGAGCCACTAAATTTGATCTTCACCTTTTCTGATATGGGCCTTGCCAGTTTCTGGGTAATTTTATTCCGAGTCAATGCTGAAGCCGTGTGCTTTGAAAAAAGACCATGAAGAATTCAGTGCCTAGTATCCACTTGAATGAGGAAACAAAATTTGTAGACTCTCCTAAGATATAAAAAAATCTCATCCCACAAATACATGATTGGTTCTTCAAGTTTAAGTCTCTGTTCTAGAACGTTCAACTGTAGAGTCTGTGGTTTCAGCATCTTGCTCAGACGTTTGTGACATTTCTTTTTCTTTTTCCCGACTTGACACTAAACACTTCAGTGCCCAGTTTGATTAAGAATATTGTAGATTTTCAAATGCACCTCTTTTAATAGTATTTTGGTAGTCTATTAACTGCATTATCCACCCCTGATTTTGGATTGGTGTTTATGGATCGCATGAGCTGGATGGCTTTTTTTTAAAAGTGTATTTACTCTTGGGGAGAAGGGGATAGGCAATTTTTGGTAGGGCTCATTGCCAGCCCTCCCTCCCCCAAGGGCTGTAGCAGGATTAAAAATGTCCCAAAATTTGGAAGGGGGTTGAAACAGGAAGATTGGTTTTGTGAATCTTGGCCTGAAGACCTACGATAGTTATTTTCAAACTGTGTATTGCGGCAGTCCGGGGCCCTGCCAAGCCCAGTGAGGAGCGTCACGGAATCCTTGGAAATATAGTAGGACTTCACATCTGCAGAGAATTCGTTCTAAGCCCCCCTTCCCCCGCTGGCAGATGCTGAAGTGGGTTCTTTTGAGGACAAAGGCAGGGAATGGAAAATATTTTTAAAAAATAAAATATAAATAAATAAATAGTGGATTACAGTGAATGCTCTACATAGATAGTCTCTGTCTCCCTCTAGTGGTGAGTTCTTGTAATGACACTGCAGAAATATATTTCTCCAATAAATGCTATACATGGCACGGTCTCTGGTTTCCTCTAGAGACCAGTTCCGGTAACTTCATTAGAAATATATGCTTGTGGGTAAGTGAATCAGTGGATACTGATCCCTCAGATATGGGGGTCCTACTTGTACCACCCAGGCTGGGCTTCCCCCCACCCTTCTCTCCCTACCCAAAATATTATATGAAGGGAGCTGCAACCAGGAAGTCAAGGGAGCCATGAAACAGAAACGTTCGGGAACCATTGACCTATGGGGTGCTTCTTGATGTCTCCCCCACATCAAGGAGCAGCTCATAGGTCAGTGGTTCCCAAGAGCTTCAAACTTCCTTGAGGCTCACGTGCTCTCTATAGACTCCACGTTGCCAATCCCTGCTGTACGGACCCAGCCTCGGTTTTGACCTTCACATGGGGTCTTTTTCCTGTGTTAACCTTTGCTCCACTGAATACTCTATATCTAAATCAGGGGACCCACGCCTGGGGTTGATATTATCAAAAAGTGTCTGTTTTTTTTAAAAAAACAACAAAACAGTTTTTGCTCCTACCTAGCAGCCATAATCTGCAGTTTGCAAGTCCTGCATGCTATTTCATTCAAATTCATGTTCTTTTTCTCTCCCCCTTTACAGGTACTTGGAGAGAATGAGAAGCATTGGAAGCCAATGATTGTTGTACTGACAGAGAAGGACCTCTTGATGTATGAGAACATGCCACGGATCAAGGAAGCTTGGTTTAGTCCTCTTCATTCCTATCCTTTGCTTGCTACCAGGTGCCTTCTTTTTAGAGAATGTATTTCTTTCCAAAGACATCATACATTTATTATTATTTATTCCTTTCAGTGTATTTTAACCCCAGTTCATTCCCCTAAACCTCTAATGGGGCTTATGAAGATTAGCAGTAAGGTAGTCCCAGTCAAAAGAGTGACAGCCTAGAAGATGCAACGCACATAATAACCCAAACAGAACGTAGCCCAATATTCAAAGTCTGCATAGCACAATTATCTGCATGTCTTGGATTGCACTACTGTGCAAAGAGATCACTCATTCAGGACACGAATGTCTACAGTACAACTGCTTAGGAATCCAGTAGGGCTCACGTTTAGAATACACTCACAAAAAGGACAACCTCTTGCATAATCAAGTGAGAGAAACACGTACAGTGGTGCCTCGCACAACGATGTTAATTGGTTCCAAAAAATTCATTGCTGTGTGAAACCATCGATCTGCAAAACACCATTTCCCGTAGGAATGCATTCAAAACCGGTTAATCCATTCCAATGGGAATGGATTGCCGTCCTTAAGCGAAAATCGCCATAGGAAACATCGTTGAGTGAAACCCCATTCCCCAATTGAAATGCATTGAAGCTGACTCAATGCATTTCAATGGCTTTGCGAAGTCCTTTTTCGCTCCTGTAAAAGTGTCTACAATGTTTGGAACCTGTTTTAAATGCTTGCAGTCACTAGCCTACCTCCTGAACCCTATGCAAACTTAATTTGGTGTTGTTCTGAGTCGTTGTTAATTTTTGGTGAAGCATTTAAAACAGGTTTCAAACAGTTTAAGACACTTTTACAGGAGCGAAAAAGGGACATCGTTAAGTGAAAATCCCCCATAGAGAACATCGTTAAACGATGGGGGAAATTCCTCAAAGAAACCCATCGCTGTGTGAATTCGTCGTTGTATGAAGCAATCGTTGTGTGAGGCACCACTGTATTTATCATATGATTTTTCTCCAGCCAAGAAAATTGAGTGTGACCAAGAAAGCACAAAGGCTTTTACATACAATTAGAATTGAGTGAGCTTAACCCAATGCACTCCTGGCCATTGTCATTCATTAAGGCATAAATTCTTAAAATTTGCAGTCATACAAAATTCATAGAGTAATCCGATTCTTTGGAAAAAAGATCCACATTAGCTTAGGGAACTCTCTATTGAAGGACTATTGATTTTATAAATATGTATGAAACATTAGCCCTCCATTAGTGAATAAATTGACTTCTGTTCATTTATCAGACACCTGAATTTTTTTGAGTTGACATACTCTTCAAGGTGAAACCTAATCCTCTCATGTACTCCAATAGCAAGCACAAATAGACTATCACTATTCCATTTTGGAGCAATTCCTAAAAGTGATACCAACAATGAAACCTTTCTTGTGAGGCAGCTTACCTGAGATACCTGTCAGAAACTCCTTTCAGTATAAGGCAGAAATGATTTGGATTGAAATTGTAACATATTGTTTTACTTCTTCAGTGTACGGTAAACTTGAGTTAAAACATTTTGAGAAAATTGTTTTATCCATTTTTCTGTAAGTGCAGACGGTGGGCTCAGTGCAGAAATCTCGAGTCATATAAAAACAACATGGTTGGTAGGCCATAGCCTTGAAGAATTATCAAACAATATGTAGTAGATTAACACTTAATGCCACAGAAGTCCAGGCTTCATTGACTTAACTGCTTGAAGGCCTGGAATGATCTTAAGATTGTATATTCTAAGACTGAGAAGCAACAACAGTGAAACTGAATTAGATAAGAATTAAACACTGTCAAAGTGCATACCATACTACAAATGGGTTTTTAGCCCTTTCAAGAAAACAGCAAAGATGGGCCAGCCTAGCCTCCTGTGGGAGAGAGTTCCAAAGTTTGGGGAGCAGCAGCACAGAAGGCCCCTCCTATGTACTCCCCAAATGCACCTGTGAAGGTGGTGGGACTGAGAGAAAGGCCTCTATCTCCTGATGATCTTAATACTCAAGCAGGCTCATATAGGGAGATGCAGTCTTTGCTTGAGCCCAAGCCATTTAGGGCTTTATAAGTTAGAACCAACACCTTGAATTCAGCCCTGAAGCTGATCGGCAGCCAGAGGAGCTCCTGTAACAAGTTAATGTGATCCCTGTAACCATCCCCAATCAGCAATCTTAACGTGCTATGATGTCAACCCATTAATTGAAATTCATGGGATTTATGGATGCACATGACTGCTTTGGTTCCTCCATGGAAGGCCTGCTTTTTATAAGTCTTCCAAGCTCATTGGAGTCCCTAGCAGCATTGCCACAGAACCTGACTCCATGGTGCCTCTGAAGTATGGTCGGTATAAATGGGGCAGCTGTGTTTGTGCTGGAGCGCCGGCGTGAGTTTATACTTCGCCAATGTCTTGGAGGCAGTGAAACAGATTTGCCCACTGCCCTGAATTCCTAACCCAACCACTTCTGCTCCCTACCTAATGGTCATAATGTGTATGGAAGATGCTTTCAGGATAGTAACACTACATGTTCAGAATAAGTGGGGCCACCAAAAAAATGTAGTGTGGGTTGTACTATCATTCTCAGTATGCCAGCAAGCCGGATATGCCTTGATAGTCCATTTCACACACACCCCACACACCCTGCTCTTCTACTTCATTCCTCAAATGGATGTTCAGCATTCTTTATTCAGTCCTGACCAGGATTTTTATCAACTCTTTCCATTTTTTCTCACTCCTCCTCCCACACCATCTGCAATTCTTTCAGTTTTCCCAGGTAATTTCTTTCCTGGTTTGGCTCTGTAGCCTTCATAACAGAGTGCTTGTGTTTGCTGTTAGTATCTGAATATCTTTGACCACGCACAGGTGTAACTGATTAAATATATTAATACAATATTCAGTGCCTAAGAAGGCAAGTAAGTACATATATCAATGCAGTTTGTTTATTTTGCATACTAAATGATAATGTGCAAAGTTAGGTATTTTGGATAGAGGGTTCTAGAATTTTGTCTTGGCCACCACCCTCTTTGGGTATAAGGTCTCCTTTCCAACAGTTCATAAATATAACTTCTTCAGACAATAATCTGCAGAATCCCCCATCTTGTAGTGGAGGGGGGGGAGAGAATAGCAGAAGCCAAAAAGATTAAAACATCTGGCTTGCATTTTTGATCAACGTGTTTTTCTCTGTCATTGCATGCTCTAGAATATGGTCTGATTTTAAAGTGATGTTACACTTTTCACAGCATGCTGGGATACGTAGTTAATAATATGGTTTTTGAGGTTTGTGAGATTTTCAAGGAATGGTTTACCATTGCCACTCTTGCAGTTAGGTTCCACAACAGAAGGGATTTGAATCCAGATCTCCAGAGTTGTAGGCCAACATTTCATCTATTGTGTTGGCTCTTACAATGATCATTATAAAAGAGAAAGGGAGGAATTCTCTATTTGCTGTCTCTGCATATTTCATATATGCCTACAAACGTTTGCATCTTCAGATTGTACTCTCTGTGTGCCTGTGTTGCTTTTGGAACAAACTTTTGCTGTTCGATTCTGTAACAGCCTTTCAATGTGTAAATAGCTGAACTTCAAAGCATTAGATTTGTTGTTACAGTTCTCTTTCTGGAATGAACACTGTTGGCACCATACGTTGCCAAGCCCTCCAGAAATATTCCTAGCACTGAATCTTCCTTTCTGGCTCCTGCTACATGCTCTTTGCTCAGCTAGTTGTTTCTTTCTCAGCCACATGCTCTTGATAAGGAAGATATTTCCCAGTGCGATAGGAAAACATTGGAGGAACAGCTGACTACAATAGAGAAAGAGTGGCAGGAAGGAAGAGAAAGAGGAAAGCAGAGGGGCTGGAAGACATGTCCAGGGTGGATGGAGAATTGTGTATAAGAAAATAAAAACATAAGACCCCCCCCCACTGGATCAGGCCAAGGGCCCATCTAGTCCATCTTCCTGTATCTCACAGTGGCCCCACTGGGAGCACATGAGACAGCTGGATACCTGTCTCCTGATACCCCTTCCCCTACATCTGGCCTTTGGAGGTACCTTCCTTCTAAGCCTGGAGATTATACAATCCCCATCATGATTTGTAACCTTCGCTGGACTTTTCCTCCAGGAATCTGTCCCATCCCCTTTTAAAGGCATCTAGGCCAGATGCCATCACCACATCCTGTGGCAAGGAATTCTTGGTAGACTCTAGAACTATGTTTATTTATTTGTTGGTTGGTTGGTTGGTTTATTTTCTCCACATTCTAAACAGTATGAAAATGCATGTTATGAAAATACTCCCAACCCTACAACATATCCTATTTGTTGCAGTACTGAAGAAATTTTCTGGAGGGACTGTAGCTATCACAATCCCAGCCAAAGCCTGCTGCGTTCCTTTACTTCATGAAGCCTGATATCTCCAAGGCACCCCGAATCATCCCAGGCAGTA